ATTAGCTGGGCATGGTGGCGCGTGCCTGTAATCCCAGCTACTCAGGAGGTTGAGGCAGGAGAATTGCCTGAATCCAGGAGGTGGAGGTTGCGGTGAGCCGAGATCGCGCCATTGCACTCCAGCCTGGGTAACAAGAGCAAAACTCTGTCTCAAAAAAAAAAAAAAAAGAAATATTTGTTGAGTGAATGGATGAAAAGGCAAGAAAATACAGTTGGCTTCTCTTTTCTCCCAATGCCAACTGGGCTCCTCAGCTTCAGAGACGCACAGGGATGGGGAGACACCAGATCCCTTCACTGGAGCTTGCCTGCTGGCACCCGGAAGCAGGTGTTCACTGAAGCTCAGCAGCAGATTGGCAGCACAACAGGCTCAAAAGAACATCAGACAGACAGCGAGGCGATGCAACTCTGCTCGTACTTTCTCCTCAAGCTTCCAAATGCCTTTTCTACCTGGCCACAGTCAGCTGATGACCTCACCTCATCACTCCATGAGGGAAAGGAAGAAAATCAGGGAGAAGCTCCTTCCCCTCCTGTCTCCACCAGATCTCCCACCTCCGCACCTCTGCTCCCACGCTTGCTTTTCCCATCACTGTGGAGGACGGCTCCTGTTCCCATCAAATGCCAGCCCCCCCCCCCCACAAGCAGTCTCTGCATCATCAAGTTCTCTCTTTCCACTGAATCGTTCCCATCCATGTGCAAACACGTCTGGCATTTCTCATCTCATTGAATAAAGAAAAACTGGGCCGGGTATGGTGGCTCACGCCTGGAATCCCAGCACTTTGGGAGGCTGAGACAGGAGGATCACTTGAGCTCAGGCGCTGGAGATCAGCCTGGCAACATAGTGAGACCCTGTCTCTACAGAGATAAAGTTAGCTGTGCATGGTGGTGCACGCCTGTAGTCCCAGCTACTCGAGAGGCTGAGGTGGGAGGATCACTTGAGCACAGCAATGGAGGACAGTGAGCTGAGCCTGGGTGACAGAGGCAGACCCTGTCTCACAAAAAAAAAAAAAAAGGAAAGAAAAAAGAAAACTAACCCATCTTCTCTTGACCCCATTTCCCTTCAGCTAAAGCTCCATTTCACTGTTCTTTTTCAAGGTAAATCTATTTGATCTTTCATTTAATATTTAATAAGCAGAGAAACTGCATGACCAAAAGAGAACTGTCAATAACCTCAATAAAAACCTTTCCCTTATATGCCTTATTATATATTTTAAAATTTGAAGCAGCCGGGCACGGTGGCTCAAGCCTGTAATCCCAGCACTTTGGGAGGCCGAGGCAGGTGGATCACAAGGTCAAGAGATCGAGACCATCCTGGTCAACATGGTGAAACCCCGTCTCTACTAAAAATACAAAACATTAGCTGGGCATGGTGGCGCATGCCTGTAATCCCAGCTACTCAGGAGGTTGAGGCAGGAGAATTGCCTGAACCCAGGAGGCGGAGGTTGCAGTGAGCCAAGATCGCGCCATTGCACTCCAGCCTGGGTAACAAGAGTGAAACTCTGTCTCAAAAAATAAATAAATAAATAAATAAAATAAAATAAAAAATAAAAAATAAAATTTGAAGCCATATAAATGTTTTACAGGTTAAAAAATTAAATTTTAAAAATACCTAAAAATAGAAAATGGAGGTGAGGTGCAATGGTTCATGTCTGTCATCCCGGCACTTGGGGAAGCTGAGTTGGGAGAATTGCTTGAGTCCAGGAGTTCAGTATCAGCCTGGGCAACATTGCAAGACCGCTGTCTCTACAAAAAATTTAAAAAGTAGCCCGACGTGGAAGATTGTGCCTGCAGTCCCAGCTACTGAGGAGGCTGAGGAGGGAGAATCGATTGAATACATGAGTTCTAGGTTACAGTGACCTGTGATTGAGCCACTGCACTCCAGACTGGGTGACAGAGCAAGACCCTGTCTCAAAAAAAAATAAAATAAAATAAGGCCGGACACGGTGGCTCATGACTATAATCCCAGCACTTTGGGAGGCCAAGGCAGGTAGATCAGCTGAGGTCAGGAGTTTCAGATCAGCCTGGCCACCATGGTGTTTCTACTAAAAATATAAAAATTAGGCCGGGCGCGGTGGCTCACGCCTGTAATCCCAGCACTTTGGGAGGCCGAGGCGGGTGGATCACGAGGTCAAGAGATCGAGACCATCCTGGTCAACATGGTGAAACCCCGTCTCTACTAAAACTACAAAAAATTAGCTGGGCATGGTGGCGCGTGCCTGTAATTCCAGCTACTCAGGAGGCTGAGGAGGAGAATTGCCTGAACCCAGGAGGCGGAGGTTGCGGTGAGCCAAGATCGCGCCATTGCACTCCAGCCTGGGTAACAAGAGCAAAACTCTGTCTCAAAAAAAAAAAAAAAAAAAAATTAGCTGGGTGTGGTGGTGGGCACCTGTAATCCCAGCTATTCGGGAGGCTGAGGCAGGATAATCGTTTGAACCCAGGAGGCAGAGGTTACAGTGAGCCGAGATGTGTCACTGCACTCCAACCTGGGTGACAGGAGCAAAGCTCTGCCCCTGCCCCCCAACAAAAATACCCAGGGTCGCCCTGCACGGTGGCTCATGCCTGTAATCCCAGCACTTTGGGAAGCCGAGGCGGGCAGATCACGAGGTCAAGAGCTCGAGACCATCCTGGCCAACATAATGAAACCCTGTCTCTACTAAAATATAAAAATTATCTGGGCATGGTGGTACACGCCTGTAGTCCCAGCTACTCAGGAGGCTGAGGCGGGAGAATTGATTGAACCCGGGAGGCGGGGAGGTTGCAGTGAGCCAAGATTGAGCCACTGCACTCCAGCCTGGCGCCTGGCGACACAGCGAGACTCTGTCTCAAAAAAAAAAAAATACCGAGGGTCAGAACCTCCAATCACTGACCCTGTCAGTTCCTTCATAGCTGTTCTTCCGCCTCTCACCTCTCTACCTATGTACACACCTGAGGCACACCTGGCGGCCATGCTGGCCTCTGTCCTTCCTGGAACATTCCAGGTGTGCTCCCCCAGGGTCCAGCTTGGCTTTAGGGGTTCCCTCATTTTTGCCTAGAATGTTCTCTCACCAGATTTCTGCATGACACAACTTCTCATCTTTAAGCCATCAAACATCACATCCGTGAGGCCCTCCGACCACCATGTTAAATTATGACGCCCCCGTGCCCTGTGCTGCCAGCCCCTTGCCCTGCTTTGCTTTCTCCTAGCCACTCGACTTCCTGACTATGTTGATTGTCTTTCTTCCCCAACTAGAATGCAACCCTCGTGAGGATGGGAACTTGGCTGTTTTTCTCACTGTTGGCCCAAGACTGGGCCAACAGTCTTGGGATATAGTAGATGCTCAGTAAATATTTGGTAGCTGAATCCATACAACCCCACTGTAAGGTGAGTCCTGTTCTCCTTTATTTTACAGATATCTTTCTCAAGGTTCAGAGAGGAGAGGTGGCTTGCCCAAGACCACACAGCATGCAGGGGAGGCTGCTGGCCTGTCCTCACACAGGAGCCTCCCATGATTCCTCCAGGAAGTCAGACAGATTAAGGTTTGAATCCTGGCTCTGCCCTTGCTGGTTTCCTGGCCAAGTTGTTACCTTCCTGGATGAGCCTTGCCCCTCTCTGATTCTCACCGGCTTCATCCCTCCCTAAAAGAAAGGCTGAATGAGATAGTACCACAGGGTGTGTGCCTCATGAGAGGGGACCTCCAAAGCCCTCCGCCGCCGTCCCCCCGGGGCACAGGCCCACCTTGACCTGGGCGTAGAAGCTTCCCAGGCTGCAGCACACGCGGCACTCCAGCATGGCGTCGTCGTTGTTGTGGGCGTAGCGCAGGGCCTTCTCGAAGCTCTCCAGGGCCTTCTGGAAGACGCTGAGGCCCAGGAAGGCATTGCCCATGCTCAGGCTGACCTGGCCTCCGAGCTGGGCACCTGCCCTGGTGCCAGGCAGCCCGAGGCAGGTCTTGCAGTAGGAGATAGTCTTGTGAAACTCGCACAGCTTCTCGTTGCTGCGCGCCAGGTTCAGGTAGCTCTCCAGGAGGAAGTCGGCATCCTCCAGCTCCCGGGCCGTGTCGATCTGGACCACAGCGAACTGCGCACCACGCGGTGGGCAGGTGGCGCTCAGCCTGGACTCTGAGCCTTGGACTGGAGGCTCCGCCCCCGCCCCCCAGCCTCACACCCAAAGCAGCATCACACCCAAAGCAGCATCGCCCAAAGCTTCAGACCCAGAGCTTCCACCCGCCAGCCTCAGCTATCTTCCCCACATCCCGGCCTCACCTCCCAAGCTCAGGCTCGTAGCCTTCACCTTCTACCCCAAGCCTCAGATCTGGAGTCTCCACCACCCACCTACCCCCAGCCTCAACCGTCGAGTCCACACCCCCACCAGGCTCAGATACAGAACACCAGGCAGGAGGGCTGAAATCTACACTGGGCTTGAGACCCACGAACCCTGGACCCCGAGGCTGGAAAACCTCAGTCTCGGAGTCTTGGGCTGCAGTTCAAGGCCACAGGCCTGAATCTGATGCTGAGACTCAGTATCTAACACCCAGGGCCTTAGATGTAGGTAGATTCAGAGCCTTGGGCCCCAGCGGCCAGCATGTGGGACACACAGGAGCCTGAGGAGGCCAAGAGGGGACTGGGGAGCCCGGGAGGAATGGAGCCTCAGCCTGACCCTCACGCCTCTGGATCAGGTACACCCACCTTCAGCATCTCCTTGTAGCGGCCCATCTCCGAGTGGGCCGTGACCAGGCAGCCCAGCACGCGGAAGCGCCCCATGAGGTCCGAGCTCTTCTCCAGCACCTTCATCCACACCTCCAGTGCCTTCTCTGTCTGGTTGGACTGGTACAGCTGGAGCCCCTTCTCAATCTGCTGCTTGGTCTGGTCCTGCCCCATCCTCCCCAAGCCCTGTGCCCCACGTGGGGTGACCCCTGGTGGCTCTGTGCCTCTAGGCACTCATGGCGCAGGACTCACAGTGCCGGCTGCCCCCTGAACCCAGGAACAAAAGCAGTATGGGGTGGAAGCCAGAGCAGGGCCTGGAGGGAGAGCAGGCGCCACCCTGGGAACAAAGCTGGTTCAGCCCCTGTCTGCAGCTGTCCCTGCCAGTTGGGGCCACGTGGCCTCTGAGGAATGTCAGCAGCAAGGTCACGCAGGCCTCTGCTGCACCCACCCGCAAGCTGGGAGGTGGCTTCCCTGAGCACAGAGGCATCTTGCCACCTGGGCACCCCGTTTCGCATCCGTTCCAAACCTCCGACGCTGGCCCTGACTGCCATGGCAGCATGGGCCTCCCAGGAGCCTCGCCAAGGGGACAGCTCCAGCAATGGACAGGCCAGGGGCCAGAGGTGCTCGGGAGAAGCAGGGCGAGGGTGGACCTGAAGGTCTGGAGAAGCCGGGTGAGCGCTCAGCCCGGCTGGATCTCATCACTGGACTGTGATGAGAACTCAGTGACTAATGCGTTGACAAGGACTTAGGACAGCCCGTATGTGCTGCCCTGGGCTATCTTGCTTTATGTCAGATGCCCGCCAGGGCCAGAGCCCAGCCCTTGAAATTTCAGTTACGGGTCTCAATTCCAATCCCAACCCCAGTTTGAAAGGGTCCCCATAATGAGCTTTAACACCAGGTAGTGTGGAGAAGGGCAACATCTTATGTGGTATGGCCCCCCACCCTCACCCCTGCCAAGCAGGCCAGCTCATCCCGACTGGCTTCTCTCTCTGCATTCCAGCCTTCTTCCTGCCTCAGGGCAAAGTTCATCCTTTCTGGCTGGGCAATTCAGTGGTTTTTTAGTATATTCACAAAGATGCACATTAATTCCAGAACATTTGAATCACCCAGAAAGGAGACACATAGCCATTGGCAGCTACACCACTCCATTCCCCATGTTGGTATGGCTGAATCATGTCCCCCCAACCAAACGCATATGTTAAAGTCCTAACTCTCAAAATCTCAAAATGTGATTGTATTTGGAGAAGGGTCTTTAAAGGGGTAATTGAGGTAAAATGAAATCATATGGTATCTCATCCAGTAAGACTGGTGTCGCCCCACATTTTTTTGAAACAGGGTCTCAATCTGTCACCCAGGCTGGTGGGTACAGTGGTAAGTGCAGTGGTACAGTCTAAGAGAACAGCAACCTTTACCTTCTAGGCTCAAGGGATCCTCCCACCTCAGTCTCCTGGGTAGCTGAGACCACAGGTGTGCATCACCCCATCTGGCTAATTTTTTGTAGAGATGGGTTTCACCATGTTGCCCAGGCTGGTCTTGAACTCCTGGAGGTGGAGGTTGTAGTGAATCGTGACTGCGCCACTGTAATCCAGCCTGAGCAACAGAGAAAGATCCTGTCTCAAAAACAAATAAATGATAAATTTTTATTTTAAAAAATTACGTTATTTTATTTTTGAGATGGAGTTTTGCTCGTTGCCCAGGCTGGAGTTCAATGGCACAATCTCAGCTCACTGCTACCTCCACCTCCGGGTTCAAGCGATTCTCCTGCCTCAGTCTCTCAAGTAACTGGGATCACAGGCATCCACTACGTCTGGCTAATTTTTTATATATAGTAGAGACAGGGTTTCACCATGTTTGTCAGGCTGGTTTCGAACTCTTGACCTCAGGTGACCCACCTGCCTTGGTCTCCCAAAGTGCTTGGATTACAGGTGTGAGCCACCATGCCTGCCCATGAAAAAAAAATTTTTTAAGGTAGAGTCTGCTCTGTCGTCTAGGCTAGAGTGCAGTGGCGCGATCTTGGCTCACTGCCACCTCCACCTCCCGGGTTCAAGCGATTCTCCTGCCTCAGCCTCCTGAGCAGCTGGGACTGCAGGCATGCGGCACCATGCCCAGCTAGTTTTTGTATTTTTAGTAGAGACGGGGTTTCACCATGTTGGCCAGAATGGTCTCAATCTCTTGACCTCATGATCTGCCCACCTTGGCCTCCAAAAGTGTTGGGATTACAGGCATGAGCCACTGCGCCCAGCCACAATAAATTTTTAAAAAGGACACAGTCACATAGAAGCAGAGCACGTGAAGACATAAGGAGAATACTGCTATCTACAAGCCCAGGAGTAAGGCCTCAGAATGAAACCAACTCTGCCAACTCCTTGATCTTGGACTTAGCCTCCAGAACTGTGAGAAAACAAATTTCCGATGTTTAAGCCACCCAGTGTCTATGGACCTGTCTGTTGTGGACCCTTCACAGGAATGGAATCATACAATATGTGGTCATCTGTGACTGGCTTTTTAAACTTAGCATAATGTTTTCAAGATTCATCTATGTTTTCAACCATATCAAAACTTCAGGCTGGGCGTGGTGGCTCATACCTGTAATCCCAGCACTTTGGGAGGCCAAGGCAAGTTGATCAACTAAGGTTGGGAGTTCAAGACCAGCCTGACCAACATGGAGAAACCCCATCACTACTAAAGACACAAAAAATTAGCTAGGCATGGTGGTGCATGCCTACAATCCCAGATACTCGGGAGGCTGAAGTAGAGGAATCCCGTGAACCTAGGAGGCGGAGGGTGTGGTGAGCCAAGATCTCAACACTGCACTCCAGCCTGGCCAACGAGATGAAACTCCATCATAAAAAAAAAAAAAAGAAAAAGAACTTTACATTACTTCTTGCGGTTGGTTAATACTTATTGTCTAGATATATCCCATTTTGTTGGTTCATCAGTTGATGGGCATTTGGGTTGTTTCATTTTTGGCTATTATGAATGAATAATGCTATAAAAATTCATGTACAAGTTGGGCCAGGCACAGTGACCTACGCCTGTAATCCCACACACTGGGAGGCTGAAGCAGGCAGATTGCTTGAGCCCAGGAGTTGCAGACAAGCCCGGGAAACATAGTGAGACTAGTGAGACCCTGTCTCTACAAACAATACAAAAAAAATTAGCTGGGTGTGGTGGTATGCAGCTGTGGTCACAGCTACTCAGGAGACTGAGGCAGGAGAATCACTTGAGCCTGGGAGGTCAAACTGCAGTGAGCCACCATCACAACACTACACTCCAGCCTGGATGACAGCATGAGACCTTGTCACAAAAAAATAAAAAATTCACGTACAAGGATTTTTTTTTTTTTGAGATGGACTCTCACTCTGTTGCCCAGGCTTGAGTGTAATGGTGTGATCTCGGCTCACTGCAACTTCTGCCTCCCAGATTTTCTTGCCTCAGCCCCCTGAGTAGTTGGCATTTCAGCCTACCGAATAGCTGGGATTATAGGTGCCCCTCACTATGCCCGGCTAATTTTTGTATTTGTAGTAGAGACAGGGTTTCACCATGTTGGTCAGGCTGGTCTTGAACTCCTGACCTCAGGTGATGCACCTGCCTTGGCCTCCCAAAGTGCTAGGATTACAAGTGTGAGCCACCGCACCCGGTGACAAAATTTTAATGTTAAAAACAACACTTTGATTAAAATAAAGACCTTTTCAGCTGCTGTGGTGTCTCCAGCACTCGAGGTGGGAGCATTGCTTGAGCCCAGGAGTTCAAGACCAGCCTGGACAACACAGCAAACCACTGCCCAACCCACAAAACAAATGACCAAACAAATAAATAAATAAATACCTTTTCTTGTATTTTTTCATTAGGTTTTAGCCTCTAGCTGCTGTCTTTTACATATATTATACTGAATGTATTTATAAGAATAATGTTGGCCGGGCGCGGTGGCTCAAGCCTGTAATCCCAGCACTTTGGGAGGCCNGCTGGGATTACAGGCTTGAGCCACCGTGCCTGGCCCTTGTTCTGTTTTTTGAGATGGAGTTTCACTTTGTCACCAGACTGGAGTGCAGTGGCACAATCTCAGCTTACTGCAACCTCCGCCTCATGAGTTCAAGCGATTCTTCTGCCTCAGCCTCCCGAGTAGCTGGGACTACAGGCTCACGTCACCATGCCCTGCTAATTTTTGTATTTTTAGTAGAGACAGGGTTTCACCATGTTGGCCAGGATGGTCTCAATCTCTTGACCTTGTGATCCCCCCCGCCTCAGCCTCCCAAAGTGCTGGGATTACAGGCATGAGCCACCACGCCCGGCCACGTACAAGGTTTTATGGGGACATGTTTTCATTTCTCTTAGGTATATACTTGGAGTGGAAGTGCTGGGTAATATGGTAACTGTTACATTCTGGTAATTGTTAGGTTCAACTTTTTGAGGACCTGCCTACCCGTTTGCCCCAGGGCCTTTGCACCTCCTAATTCCTTCTCTGCTCCCCACATCCACACTCTGCCTCATAAATCATAATTAGGATGAATCAATATTCTCTCATTGAATTACACTATTTTCCGATGCAATACTCATCTCTATAGTTTTACTTTGAGACAGGGTCTCATTTTTGTCACCCAGGCTGGAGTGCAGTGGCACAGTCTAGGCTCACTGAGGCCTCGACCTCCTGGGCTCAAGCCACCCTCCCGCCTCAGCCCCCGAAAGCAGCTGGGATTACAGGTGCGTGCCACCACGCGCAGCAAATTTTTATATTTTTAGTAGAGATGGGGTTTCGCCATGTTGACCGCTGCTCTCGAACTCCTGTGCTCAAGTGATCCACTGGCCTCGGCCTCCCAAAGTACTGGGATTACAGGCATGAGCCACCGCGCCCTAACTCTATTTTATATTTGTGAGGTTGTTTGCTGAATGTCTTTACTCCTGACTCAAATGAGTTCATATGGCTGGGTCCTAATGCAGGACAGGACTTTTGTCTCCTTCACCACTGACCATATTCCCAGAGCAAGGGCCAGTACACTGTGGCCCCTCAATAAATATGTCAAATATTGGTGAAGGGAAAGACAGGGAGGAAAGACAGCTTCACTGGGCAATTCAGGGCAACTGCTGCAGGTTCAGGGGATCTGCCCCAGCCTGCACCCTGCTGGGGAAACAGCACAGGCAGACATGACCTGCTTCCTGGACCTCAATTTGGGTCAGAAGGCAAATACCCTGCTGAGGGCTCTAGGCCCCAGGCTCAGCAGAGGCAGAGCGGGTGTGGGCAGGCTGTGGGACAGGTGGCTAGGCAAGGCCACTTGGACTCCCCACAGGAGTGCTCCTAGGCCTGGGAAAGGGAGAGCTGGCTGGGGTCTTCTCTCCTCTCAGGGAGACCTGGGTTGATGCTGAGCTGCAATGTGAGGGAAGCTGGGCCCACAGGGAAGGTGTGAAGGGCCAGCAGGTTCTCCCCACTCCAGGGCCCAGACCCTGTTCACATCAAGTCTCTGGCAGAAGGAATGGAGGAAGGGCAGCCTGTGCCTACACCCCAACGGAGTCGGGGAGCACAGTCTTCCGCTTTCCTGGGGAACTCAAATGACCAAAACTTGAAAACTTGACGGGATCAAGGTGGCCTTTCCCTGAGGCAGCTCTTTGCTCATCTGGCTTTAGTGATGGGAATATGCCATACTTGCTTGTTCTAGGTAGCAGAGTACCTTATGTTTCCTTCGAAAATTTCCTTTTTCTTTTTTTTATTCTTTTGTAAGATGGAGTTTTTTACTCGTTGCCCAGGCAGGCTGGAGTGCAGTGGTGCGATCTCAGCTCACTGCAACCTCCACCTTCTGGGTTCAAGCAATTCTCCTGCCTCAGCCTCCAGAATAGCTGGAATTACAGGTGAGCACTACCACACCTGACGAATTTTTGCATTTTTAATAGAGATGGGGTTTCACCATGTTGGCAAGGCTGGTCTCGAACTCCTGGCCTTAAGTGATC